GTAGATCTATCACAGCGTCTTTGACCTGGTCAATGTCTTTAATGTCTCCTTTGCATTCCTTTTCATAAGCCCCACCCACATAACAGAATGAAACATTGCCCTCTTGTTTTCCTAGAAGTGGCTTATTGAACACATTAGAATTTGAACTGAAACTTTCACAGTGAAAATATAGAGACAACTGGAACCATAGAGTGATCAAAGGCTTTGCTCATCTATCTATTGTAATGACTCACAGTGCACTATATATGCTGTATACACCCAAATAACTCAAACTTTGCACTATTTTTATCATCAGGATTACTGTACGTCAAACCTCCAGTGAGTTAAAAGATTTGTTATCTTAAACCAGATACATTGAAGTGTTCCCTGGAGGTAGTATTCTAGAATTTCTTGAATGCCCTCATTGTGTTATAACATTGAGAATTACATTTTGTCTTTTCATAAGGAGACATCCCACTACTGAGATACAAAAACATATCCTGTGGACTTCATGGCATTTTAATTTGCAGTCCCAAGAATAATATCACGGGACGTAATAATTGTCCTAACCAGAATGGGTCCACACTTGTGCATGTTAAAGGTGAGGAAGCTTTTCCTATCATGTTAGAAATAATTTTATCGGTAAACCATTTTTGTGTGCTTTTCAATAATGTGCAAACCATAAGTTGGGGAAGTATCACTGAAATTATTAAAAACTGGATCATTGGATAATGCAATTCAAGACTTTTTATTGGCTTACCCATTATAGTATATGAGCCAATATACCATAATCTAGTGATATCTGTACATTGTAACATCCGGTTTCTTCTTACAAAATAAAGTCGAGAAGATTTGTCTAACATCTTGGGGGCATTTTTTTAAATAAAACAATTATTCCACTCGCACTTGTTGGATTAGTCTCCCTCACAGCCGTTTTTTTGGATGNGTAGTATTATAGAATTTCTTGAATGCACTCATTGTGTTATAACATTGAGAATTACATTTTGTCTTTTCATAAGGAGACATCTCACGACTGAGATACAAAAACACATCCTGTGGACTTCATGGCATTTTCATTTGCAGTCCCAAGAATAATATAATGGGACGTAATAATTGTACTAACCAGAATGGGTCCACAGTTGTGCATGTTAAAGGTGAGGAAGCTTTTCCTATCATGTTAGAAATAATTTTATAGGTAAACCATTTTTTTGTGCTTTTCAATAATGTGCAAACCATAAGTTGGGGAAGTATCACTGAAATTATTAAAAACTGGATCATTGGATAATGCAATTCAAGACTTTTTATTGGCTTACCCATTATAGTATATGAGCCAATATACCATAATCTAGTGATATCTGTACATTGTAACATCCGGTTTCTTCTTACAAAATAAAGTCGAGAAGATTTGTCTAACATCTTGGGGGCATTTTTTTAAATAAAACAATTATTCCACTCGCACTTGTTGGATTAGTCTCCCTCACAGCCGTTTTTTTGGATGTCGCGCAACGCTCCCCCAAAAGAATGGCTGCTGACAACTGAACTACATTCCTTTCTCGGAATTGGCCAATCACAGCTCTGGTGCAGCCGTTCTTTTGGTGGAGCCTTGCGTGACATCCAAAAAAAAGGGCTGCGAGGGAGACTATTGTTGGATATGAGATGATTATAGCCAATGAGGTGCTTAATGCCAAGTTGGCTATCTATCATTTCATATCCAACGTGTGCTCTTGGAATAATTGTTAACTATACGGTGTTAATTATGGTATGTTAATTATATTCCAGACCTCTCATAGAAACGGGTGTTGTGTTGGTGTGATCGAAGGATTTTAATCCACTTTGCTTGTTTGTACTTTAATATTGTCTGTTGCAATTTTTAATGATTTGTATGATCTTGAAACAATATAATTGGGACAGAGTTTGGTTCTAAACCTCAGAGGCTACATGTAATTGAAAGCTACAGTAACTACCTGGATGTACACTTATACATAACCAAGAAGACCAAAAAAGTTTATTATGGTGGTGAATCAATATGCAAATGTATTTCATGCTTGCTTTGGTATGAACAGTGACATCACAATGAGGTTTTATAACATAACCAAAGTAAAGTGCGTGCTCTGATTGGTCAATTTAGCGTTCCCCATTTGCCCATGGGTGTACGCTGCTGACGTGGGCAAATGCAAAGACTATTTTTCCGTGCGCGCTTGTTTTTTCTGGTTGCGTAAGATTTGTTAAATAAAAGGGAACTCTTTAGCTACAATGTATCAATGTTATGTTATAAAACAAATGGTAAACACCACAGCGTACACTATTGAGTTATGGATGCACTTGGGAGGTTTGCTAAGCACTCAAGAAGCTAGAGTCGCTCTCGGCTATCGCCTCGNAACTTACCAAAAACCACTTGACAGCTCGTGCACTCGACGGCCTTTCGATCCAAATGCAAAATGGCGGCCTGAAAATCTCGGGCACGCGCAGAGAGCAAAATTTCGACATAGTTTTTGGGTTGAAAAGTCATGCCCCACTTACGACTTCTACTTTTCTCTCTTTCTCCTGCCCTTTTTTTCCCCTCTCCTTGCCTGAAGTTTCTCCTCACTTGCTGGAAATTGAGTAGGCTTCATTTTGGCGTAGAGATTTTTCAGAAACTACTCATTATTTTCAAAACACATGCTCGGAAAGGTAGGTGGGTAGTGAAACACGATTTTCGTGCAGATTTTCAGGTCAAAGTGACACGGTTTTTTGGCTATTTCTCCAATCTCCTTCACTCAATTGCACTCATTCTGGTATCGTCTGTAAGATATTTTCAACCTGTTCAAGTAGGTGCTCAAATTTGTGCTCCAGGGTTAAAAGTGATGACGTCACAAGGCGTAGAAAGGGCGTGGGTCCCCATGGGCGCATACGGGCGCACTGGACGTCAATGGGTTAATAAACTTTATGCGTAACACTGCACTGTGGCCTTCTAATGTCGTAGATTTTGCAGCATTGCCCACTCAAGAGACTTTTGCTGGGAAAAAGTTTATTTTTAAATGTTATGTGACTTCAAAGTATCCAATGAGAGGGCACAGTGTTGAGCTCTATAGTAATACCTGATTGTTATTCCTCTGACCATGCTGCTGGCCTTTGTAATTGTCAAAATGGCTGAGACAGTGGCTGCTCAATGATCACCAACAACTGTAATCAAAATTTTCAAATATGTTGTTTGGCTGATTATAATATTATAAACAATACTGAGGAAACCTTTAGATCAAAGTATAAGGCCTGGTTCATTGTTCTAGATGGGCTTGAACAACCTTGTAACAAAACTGATATTTGATAAGTTGATTATGTGATCAGACAAGTTTTTATGTCAGTTTTGAAAAAGTGTCATTAGGTGATGCTAGCACGGCCTTCATATTATGACAAGAACAAGAAATCATTATAATTATTGTTGTAGGTTGTCCAGGCAGCAGCACTGTCTCTGCAAGTGTCTCCACAAGTGTTTCCACCGGAGGCACACCTTCGGATAGTAAATTTCCTGGAATAGTTATTGCTTTGGGAGTTGTACTTGGGGTATTTCTTGTTGCTGTTGCTATTGGAGCATTTTTGTTCCTGAGGTGAGGTGCACCTGCTTTTTACTTCACTTTATTTTGAATAGAAACATAAAATCCTACAAACAAGATGGCACTTATTAATAAAATGAGAGAGGTTATTGAAGCAACTATTTCCAGTTGTGCTGTAGTGTAGATTGAAAAAAAACAAAAACAAAAAGAAAACAATTTCATGGCCCAAACTAATTATGAGCCCCTTGATTTCATTACTTACAATGTACTTGACTCTTTCCTGCTCTTTCATTGGCATGGTTCTTTAAGACTAGTATAACATGGGAATTTGCACAACTTGAGCCAAGTGATTCCTATTTCATCTTTTGACACAAATTGATCTCATATACAAAGCAATGACAGTGTAGCAGAGGAGGATTGTTAATCCATTGAAACATGCTTAAGGTGCCTTAACCCCTATGTGATTTCCTAGTTGTTTTATTTGAAATGATGTGAAACAATGTCACTTACTCTTACTCAAATTATCCAGTCAAATGTTAATTTGGGATACAGCCTGCAACTGAGCCACAGAACCACATGTCAACAGCTGTGCAAATCATTAGGTTCTTAGCTCCCCATGAAGAAAATGTCAGCCAAAGTCAAATAGATAAGTTAGTAATTAATAATTAATAATTTAAGTTAGATAAAAAATAATTTGACCTGTGGATGATGAGGAAAAGATTGACCCTGATAGTTAAACTGCTATTAAAAAGATAAATAGATTTGGTTTTATTAACTTATTTTTTAAAAACTCTTAAATTGGCCACAGTAGAGAGTTTGTTAAGCTGACCTTCCAATCATTAGCCCTTCCTCAGAGAGGATCCTTACCCCTTTTGCAATTAAAGAGGTCAGTGTAAGCTGTGTCATTTTGTCAGTCACTATGTTAACCTGGAAACTTTGCAATGCAAATCACTTGGCCATTTGAAACTGGCCAGCTCACTTAGAATGGAAAATGGGACGGAGCTACTGGAGAAGAAAACCATCTGAATCCACTGTGCATGACCAAGCAGTGTTTTTTGGCAAAATTAGTTGTCACTTACACTGGAAAAGAAGCTCCACACACAATATTAGGATGTAGAAGTTTTTCTTTTTTAAATTATTAATAAACTGAACTTATTTGGTCTTCTCCGTTTTTAGGCAAAGGAGATGTCACTGCTGTTGTACGATATACTGCCATGTATTCTTCCCTAGTGAGCCTATCCCTCCTGACACACCAACTAAGCCGCGAAGACCAAGCCTCATTGGGATTTCAAGTAAGATCTTAGCTTGGAAATATTAAGTTGTTTTGTAAGTCATATTATAGTATTTTCACATAGCATAAAGTGTACAGTGGTTTTAACCACACAAGTCAGTGTTTTGGAATTTTGGAATGTAACAATTGCCTTTTGTTATGGTAAGGTTGCTTTTCAATCTCATTAGCTGTATAATGTTAATTTGTTGTGTAACAGTATATCACCTCCAGTAGCCACACAAGTCAGTCACACTGGGATAAACCTGACCACACTTTTCAGTTCATGAGCTTTGCAAGTGTTGTAGATTTTCCCCAAGGACAGGAGTATAATGCTATCTGGTGTTGAAAGTATGATAGTGTTTCGTTCTCCAATCTCCTGACTTTACATTATACCTTTAGTTAGTTTTGGCAGATGAACTAATGTATTATAACAAACAAAACATTTGAAGTGTTTTAATTTTAATTGAAACTTTTTCAAAATAATTTTACTGTTCATATTCTCAACTTTTCAAGGATAATATACAGTCAATTGCAAACACATTAACATTTCGAAAGGTGTTCATAATGATCGACCCTACAGCTATTTGGGTACACATAAATACAATAGCCTCCACTAGCATGTGGTGAATGATAGAAGCTATCCACGCTGTTTTGGAACAGAAAGATTATCATTATAATTATAGCAATGGCTTTTCATGAATAGTGAGAATTACTCAATCACTGATTATTTATCTGCATGATTGAGCATTTCCCAGAAAGTTGTTGAGTCTCATAATTCATGGATCATAGTTTTTAGGGGTCAATGTTTAGGCAATTGAGTGTATCTATATATCAAGTGAATAAAGGCTGATAGTTTCTAAAGAAACTGTTTGGGGCTGCGTCGGTGGGGGTAATGAACGCTTTTCATTCCACTAATTTATTCGTGTTTTTCTCGTTGCCATGTTCCCACCAATAAGGTAGCTCCATTTTGTGCCTTTAAAAGCACACACAACCCACAATTCCTCTATTCGCTCCGACAAAGGGTTAATGCTCAAAATGTCAGCTTTTATAATCGTAACGGTGGCCAATTTACCATTTCAATTTTGTTGATATATTCAAATTATATATCAAGTGGTTCTGTGATATTTGGTGAGTTATCTGCTATTGTGGGTTGCTTGACTAGTACGTTATCTGACAAGTGAAGTTAACTGTCATCAATCAGCAGTTTTATCATATCAGTCAGGTTATCTCATCAGCTTGTAGCATATTTGCTCTGTTTCAAGTAGTCATATCCCAATTTTTTAGGCCTAGATGAAGACTGTTATAATGTTCTCCCTAGAGGCTAATTGTTTTCTTGCAATTGTTTTCAACTCCATTTGGTTCCATGTGCTGCACAGTAAATAAATTTGAAGCTGTAGAAAGTGGTACTCAAAAGTGTTTTGTTTTTTTTTTTACCCTGGATAATGCATAGTTGAAATCATCTTCCCCACATTCCTTAAACCCATTTATAACTGCAGCTTTTGTGAAAAACTGTGTTTTGAAGGTAGTCGAGCTGATTTCGGGTCACTGTTGTGGTTTAAAAGCTCAAACTTACCACAAACCCATTGATAGCTTGTACACTTGACGGCCTTTCGATCCAAATGCAAAATGGCAGCCTGAAAATCTCGGGCACGCGCAGAAAGCAAAATTTCGAGATAGTTTTTGAGTTGAAAAGTAATGCCCCTCTTACAACTTTTACTTTTCTCTCTTTCTCCTGCCCTTTTTTTCCCCTTTCCTTGCCTGAAGTTTTTCCTCACTCGCTGGAAATTTTGTAGGCTTCATTTTGGTGTAGAGATTTTTTAGGAAACTACTCATTATTTTCAAACCACATGCTCAGAAAGGTAGGTGGGTAATGGAAAAAGATTTTCGTGCAGATTTTCAGGTCAAAGTTACATGGTTTTTTGGCTAATTCTCCAATCTCCTTCACTCAATTGCGCTCATTCTGGTATCGTTTGTAAGATATTTTAAACCTGTTCAAGTACGTGCTCAAAGTCGTGCTCCAGGGTTAAAAGTGATGACGTCACAAGGCGTAGAAAGGGTTTGGGTCCACATGGGCGCTTACGGGCGCTCTGGACATCAATAGGTTAAAGCCACTTGGAGTGCAGAACATAAATGTTTAAGTAGTTGGAATTGGGAATGGATGTGCCTTAGCTATCATATTCTTGGTTGAGTTTGCTCCAGTATGTTTCAGTAATGTGTTCATGCCAGGTAAATGACACCAAATGGGCTCTTTTTATCTTTGTTATCCAACTGGTTAAAATAAATTAGTAACAGTCAAAAGCAATAATTGCTAGGTGAGAAATAGCTGTCCTTGATTTTGTAAGTTCACAATACATACACTTCAGCTCTAATTGACCCCCAGTAAAACAGATGGTATGGATCATGATCTTTGTGATCACTTTTGAAAATAAACAGTCACCAAATTTACTGGAAAATGAAATTTTTTTTCCTTGATGCTATCCAATGTTTTTCATTTTCTACCTGTGTGGTAATATCTGTGCAGAAATTTTGATGTTTGTGTAAATTTTGAATTTAGCACAAGATGGGAGGGATAGCTTCATCAGCACAAACATCAGGTCTCTATAGAGCTTTCATTTGCAAAATGTCTCTTTCTAGATTTTGTATCAGTGTAGAGCTGAAGATTATGTATTTTTCTTTAATTAAGGAATAACAGATTGTAGAATGTTGTACTTTTTGTGGTCTATAGGTATATTCTATATGCAAATTACTTAAATTGATATCAATTTTTTGGAAGGTTTGATTCTCATTTCTTGAAGGATTTTTAAATCTAAGTAATTCTACTTTATTCACCACTCTGTACACAATACTTGAGTTTCCATTCAATCTGTTGTGTGTTAGAAAGAAACATGAATACTTTTGCTCAACATGCATTTCATTCCCTGTGATGTGGAAAAGCTAAATTAATCAGATAACATGCTAGGTATACTTGCCACACACTGCATATTCATCAGTTGAACTTTAAGATAAATAATTGGTCTTAGATTTCAAATTGGTTCTTCTTAATTGGGATGAGAAGAGATGTATCAAGGTGTGTGGGGTTTAAATATGTTGATGGTTTGTTTGACAAGGCATTGTTTTATAAGGAAAAAGGGCTTAGAACTCAGTAGCTGAACTTATGGTTATTATTAAATATTTAAGAGTCTTAAATCTGTGAAGAATTATTCTGGGTACTTTCACAAAAATGTCTTGATTTTCTTTCAACTTTTCAACCTGGTAAAACCTAATATCATTGCTCTGTTTTAGAATATAAACATGGACCTATTCTTGTGGAAAACTTCGCAGCTCATGTGAAACTCTTGCATACGGATGGTGACTACAGATTCAATCAGGAATTTGAAGTAAAGTGGATGGTTTTTGTATTATCAATTGGTTTTTTTTTTTTCTATTTTGCATAAGCTTGCTTTCCCCACTTTTAATGAACTGGCAATTAGTGAGGAAACACATGGACAGAAGGCAACTAAATAATGGGAATGCAGTATTTTTATTTATAAATACTTGTCTTTGTTCAGAAGAATTTCAACTGGAGGGTAAAAGGTATCATTTAGGTTTGAGATCATTATTTTAATCTCAATTTTGTATAACTTTGTTTGAAAATTGATATGATAACTTTGTTGTAGTTGATGACAGAAATAGTGATCATTTCCAGTGGTAATGCTAGAGAATTTGCTATGAAAAAGTTTTGTCCATGATTAGGGAAAAAGACCGGAACTTATAATAATTATGCATGGGTATTTTGCAACTTGTGCAATATTTTTCTCAGCCCTGTAGCCCTATCCAAGTATTGTATCCATTGGAAAAAAGAAACGCATACACACACACAAACAAAAACCATTTTGAAAAACAAAAAATTTGATGTACTGAAAAGCTTTCTCCTAGTAAAAAGGGAAGGCTGAACAATGGAAGGTTAGGGTCACTCTGCACACCCAGTTTACAGTTTTTCATCCATATACCACAGTCCTGTGGCATATACCACAGTACTGTGGCATATACCACAGTACTGTGGTATATACCACAGTACTGTGGCATATACCACAGTACTGTGGCATATACCACAGTACTGTGGCATATACCACAGTACTGTGGCATATTTTGTGCCATCCATTACCTCAATGTGGTGAAATGGTGTAGGTAGTGGAATGACAATTTACAAATTATATTGTACGAAATCTGTAAGGTGAGATAAATACTGTCAATTTAAATTAAATTTACTTTGTTTTAAAGGGGAGCAGAAGCCTAAAATTTAATCATTTTTAATTGTAGCTTATAGCTCAAAAATCAATGTTGGAGTGTTTTTCAGTCTTTCCACCCAACTTTGCCTCAAAAAAAAGTTTTGTGTCACATTTTGACCTCATAGTACAGCAGCTCAGAAAAGCAATGTAGCAATGTCAGCGGTTATTTTAGGTCACTAATACGTCACTCTTCCACAACAAATCTATGATATTCATATATCTGAACTGCGGTTATAGAAACATTTGTGCTTGATCATCGCAGTAAACATCACTATGAAGGCAGTTCAGATATATGAATTTCATATATTAGTTGTGTTTGATTTATCATCTTATGGGTTTATGTCGGACTAATTTGATGACCTGCTCTTAGTTGGCTTGTTAGCTCAATTGGTAGAGTGCTACACTAGTATCACAGAGGTCAGTGGTTCGAATCCCGTACAGGCCTGAATTTTTTCAGGTCTGATTTTCACTATTGTTTAAATAGTGCTCTTTACTGTGAGGATCATGCACAAATACATGTCACTGTTCCTTGAGAGCTTCAGTATGGTTATGGAGTTATCAAAGTTACATAGCTTGTAATGGGAATCAAATTTTAAAATGAAATATGATATGAGGCCTTCTCAAGTTAGTTCCCTACCACTGGCATCATATTCAACTGCTGCTAATTGTTTTTGAGCTTATGGTCTTATTCAGATGTAAGAGTAGGAAAAAGGCAAATTCAAATCAAATTTTCTCATTAAAACAAGAAGTGATTAAGTAAATTAACCACCAAGACTGTACCTTACTCCTCTAAAGCTCACTAGAAATGAATGCAAAATAATACCAATTTTAGGCTTCGCTTCCCCTTTAAGTTTACTTTGTTTTTCTCTTTGTAGTCATTACAAAGTGTTCATGTCAAAAGCAAGTCATGGATACACAGTGAAAAACCAGAGAACCAGTCCAAAAACAGATATAATAATATTGTAGCTTGTAAGTTTCACTTTTTTGTCTTACACTAGGTGCACAGTTGCAGGTCTTCAATGATAATGTTGTGTGGAACATGAAACTAGAGAGTCAGCTGTTATTGTTAGCATACCTGTTGTAATTTGGCCATGAAGACATTACTTGAAGTTATAAGAACAATTTTTTCTTTAAGTGACCCTACAATATGCACTACATTTCTGTTAATTATCACTTTTGTTAAATATAGTTATTGCTAGCAGTATTTTGAATTTTTATTCAGCTGTTCATTGGGTGTCAGGAAAGCATAACTGTGTGGTTATTACAAACATAAACACTTTCTCTTTTTATAGATGATCATTCAAGGGTGATTCTGTCACTGACAGAAAATGAACCTGATTCTCACTATATTAATGGAAACTATGTTGATGTAAGTATCAGCCTGATTTAGTAGTAAGCTGTTGAGTTTTATAATTGACTTCCATAATTTTTAACAGTATCCAGCAGACATTTACATGTTCACGTTGGTCTTTCTCAATATTCTCTCCAACAATTTCTGAATACAAGTTCCTTCATATGATTTACCCTGGTGTGGAATTGTGATTTGTCATAAAATAATTAAGACTATAAAATTATTTATTATATAGTAGAATTTGATAATTCTACTGAGTAGAATGTGACTGTATATTACGTACTTATCGACTTAGTGGAAGGGTGAGAAGGGAAATATTTGACCTTGAGGTCATTCCATAAGGACCAAGGGCAGCAAGGTTGTGGGTCATGACCAAGAGCTAAATATTTCCCGTCCAGCCAGACTAAAGTCAGTCAAGGAGAATTTTATTGTATGACCATGAAGTGTTGAAAATTTGGAAAAAATGTGTTTCTAAGATAGGATGGTTTCAAGTCAAAGCAAGAAACTCCCAATTCATTGAAAAACATTTTACTCTGTTCTTTGTGAGCTGTGTGAGTACAAGGCTGGAGGGCTTTTCTGGACGGGCTCATGTTAGCTTGTGTGATGCAACACACATCATCTTTCACTGTTGTTTTCGATGGGATTGCACTCATGGGGCCATTTGTTTCATTTGGTAATTAAATGTTATTATTACTAATGAGAATGTCTTGATTTGATCCCAAGAGCTTCAAGAAAGTAAATGCTTACATTGCAACTCAAGGTAAGGCTGAAATTTTCAGATATAGTAATAGGATTATCACAATAAAAATAAATTTCAAACTCATGATAATACTCACAATGATTCATGCCATCATCATTTTATATAGCGTTTACTCTGTTTTTTTTTTTGTTTTTTTTTGACATTACCAGGGCTTGATACTAACGGTAGCCAACCAGCTACAGCTTAGTAGAAATTCAGTTTTCGCTAGCGGTTTGCGATCTCCATTAGCTAGTTTGGCTAGTAAACAAGCTGAAATTGTTGTAACGTCTAAGTTGTTACCAGCCACTTGGCTTAAGTAAGTTGAAACGTTAGTGTCTAGCCCTGCATTACATTAATAATTGAAATCAGGTGACAATATTTGAAATTACAGAACTAAAAGTGTAACATTTGTAAGGTTAATTTATACTAATATAAAGGGGGCATTGTGCAAGGAAAAGGTCATTGGGAAAATCCTTGAGTTAAATTTTTGGTGATTTGATTCTTTATTTTTATACCAGCAAGGAATAAAGACAAAAATTACTTATGATTCTGTCACTATCATCTGAAAAATATGCTTGAATGTCAGAACTACCTTAATTGTTCAAGAAGACATTGATCTGTCTTCGGAGAAACTGGTGCCCTCCTGTTTTAGCGGAAGCCTTGTAATTGTCAAGAATACAACATCCAAAGTCCCATTTATTTTTGGTCTTTTGAAGGACCCATGGCCAACACCATCAATGATTTTTGGAGGATGGTCTGGGAACAAAACTGCACAGTTGTTGTTATGATAACAAACATCATAGAAAAGGGAAGGGTAAGTTGCGCTTGTCAACAATATTTTTTGTGTTCATTTTTTAGCACAAAATGTAGCATAGGGATGTAAAATGGTGTTAAAGCCAAATGGTGCCCTTGGTTGGTGTTCACTTTTCATGTTCATTTCTGCTTATGATATTATGGAATGTAAAATTTGACTACTATCAGCAAGGTGTAAATATACTGTGATGACTCATTTTGAATTGAGATTGAGATTCCTTACATTTACTCTCAGCATAAGTGTGCAATGTACTGGCCTTCTAAACAAGCTAAGAGTGAAGTTCATGGTCCTTTAAGAGTAACCTACCTTGATGAGGAGGCTTTCGCTCATTACACTCTGCGTAGATTTGAAGTAAAACCAGTTGAACACAGCACACACTATAGTCAGGTATGTTTCCAAGTTTACACTTTTTGAGAGGAAATGAAAAGTACATATACAGTTAGTAAAACAAATATTGAATTTAACAAGGTAGTAGGGATACTTATGATAAGTCTTAAAAGTTTGGCATCTAATTTTGCACTGGAAGTCACTGATTTAGCAATGGTGTTTGACAGTCATACAATATTCATGGTCTTGGGCTGATGTGCAATAAATTTTGGCTTGGAATATCATTCTTATGCTCTGTTCTTTTCTTAAATCATAATTTGCTCCTTTCTTTTTAGTTGTCTGAGTGGTAAGCCTTTAGTTGTTGAAAGTTCAAAACAATTGGCAGCCATATTGTTCATTCCGAAGACCTGTGATATGATCTGTGGTGTAGTTCATCAATATACATACATACATACACATACATACATTACTTGACCACTCCCCAAAGGGGCTTTTCAGGGCCAATTCCCACCCATCCCATCCCATCCCAGGGGAGGACATCCACCACACAGTAATCTCATGCGTGAGAAATTAATGTCTCCTACCCCTAACCCTGTAGGAGATGGGACCTACGGTTTATTCGTCCTTATCCGAGAAGAGTAGAATATCTATCCATTTATTAATATTATAGAAAGGTAGCAAATTCTCCTCACTTATTTTAAGACCATGAGTATCGGTCCGGCCAGGGCTCGAACCCTCAGCCTCCCGCACAACACAATCTGGCGCTCTAACCAATTGAGCTAACCAGGAGGTGGTTATGACATATATGACACATACTGTCCCTTTTTTTTTTTTTTGCCAATTGAAACTTTTCCCCTTAAAATGATCTTTGCCTGCATGGTCACCAAATGATGGCTTTCAAAACACTAAGGCTTGAAGCATTGCTTTTAACCAAAGGATGCTTGCAAAACAATAACATGCATGTTACAGTCACTCTAACATCAATGTCATTTTACAACTTATCACCATAGCTTTGTTGGTATATACAGCAAGTTTACAATATATTGTGCTACATATCACCAAATGTTTACTGCATCTTATGTTGACTTTAGTAAATTAGTACAATCTACAGCTGTTCTAAAATTAACTTCTTATACTGTTATTTATCTTTGCATGCAAAGTATAAATATTCATCTAGGATGGTTACCATTGGCATAAACTGGGTAAGGCTCCTTTGCAGTAATTTTGTTCATTTCAACCCAAGGAGGAAGTGAATTAAGAAAACAATGAATAAATAATTATATAAATGACTGAATATTTGCCAAGGGGAATCTTCAGAGGTGTAAACAAAGAGGGTTATGATTTAAAAAAAACCTATTCTTTCAGCCTCTGACAAACTATTGATGATTCATTCAAGGCCATTTATTTCTTGAAAATGCTGTTGTGGTAGAGAATCTTAAAGTAAAACCAAATAAACAGTATAAAAGTTCATAAAATCAAAAGTTAAAATTTTAAAGTTTATGATGTGCACAGCTTTCATTGAATATCTTAAATTTTTGTCTAAATTGTTTGAAAATTGTTGGTTTACTACTTGAATTTAATTCAACAAACTTGTTACCTACATAGCTTAGAATAATCAATAACACTTGTGATAAATCCATCAATTACATGTAAATTGAGTTGAAATCTTAATTTTGCAATGTTGTTAATTGTACATACAGTGCAACAAGTTCATGACAGGTCACCTTATAATTATTTTTGAGAATCTGAGTTTGAGTTCTAGGGGAAAAAAAAGAGGAAAAAAGGGCTCTATTACCATTTCACCTGTGGGGTTGACACTAATTGCCTTTTTTATTTTTATTTTAAAATATGAACAAAACTTAAGGCCATGTTTTTTAACAGGTTTCTGGACAAAACACATGCCTGGCTGTTAGCTACTTCTTCATAAATTGGAAGCATGGAAACACGTTGACTGTGATTGATCTGATATGACACAAACTATGATTTTTTTTACTTAGAACTTTTCTTTTTATTGGGTGGCTCTGGTCTAAATTGTATCATAAATTAATCGTGTTATGATGTGTTAAAATTATATCTTAAATTGTAAAAACAAGGAATATTGTACCGTAGTTTTTCGTTTATAAGCCACACTCAGCTATAAGATGTACCCCCAACCCAGCAGTTCAACTTTATCAATTTTTTTAATGAAAAATCTCTCTAAAACACTTGGTTATAAGATAGGATGAGGAGTTAGAGAACAAGTTTGAGGTGGACAGCAAGACAGATTACTAGACTGCCCAGCAAATAAAACGGTTCTTTTAAGAGCCACTCCAGTTCTTTTCAGAACCACCATATCTATGAAAGTCAGTGACCAACATTGTTCATAATTTTAGGTTAATCAGGGGAAATTGCAATGATTGTGAAAATTGTTTCAGGAAAGTATTGGCCTATAAGCGCACCCTAAGTTGAACAATAATTTTGGAACAAAATAGCGATTTTCTTTGGAAAAATGGTGCAGCTTATGACCAAAAAACTACCATTAATATTGTCATAGTAACAATTTACTAAAAGATGTGTTCCATGGACCGTTTTCTGAGATGTCTAAAGCACATTTTAAAATTTCATTAAAAATTGTATACTATGATCATTCATGGTGGCTGTATGTTGAACTCTTGATTTTTCACTTTTTTTTCCTGGACAGGATGCTAGTACAGAAGAGGAAGTAAAACCAATGATTGTGTGTCAGTACCATTTCACTGGCTGGCCAGACCATGGTGCTCCAGATCCAGGCTGTGAATACCCAGCTCTTGACTTTATATCCAAGTCAAGTGCTGCTAGTCAAGATGGGGCAGGTCCCATCATTGTTCACTGCAGGTGACAATTGCCAGTAGAAAATTATCAGTGCTTAAGTTGCTGGGGTTTCAATGACTTTTTCCATAAGCAGCTGCTGATGGTGTCAAAGGCAGCTATGCTAAGAAAAGGACCATAAGGTGAAACCCAATTAGGTGGGGGTAACTGTGACTTACAGTAGACGGCCAGGAACTGGCTTTTTTTTACATCCATTTTTAAATCACTTGTGATCCTTGAAATCTGATTGACCCTAAACACCATTTAGAGGATATAATTGTGTAACATGTGAACAGTTTGCCCATTATTTGCTCTAAATTGCATCTTACAATCTATCTGTGACAGCTGTACTAAAACACAACAACAAATCAATTTTTAAAGGCTTGTTAAAGAAATCAATCAAATAACAGGAAAATGAGAGACAACTTTAGCAACTTTTTACAAAACAGCTCAACATAGTTGATCGATAAAAGATTTTTATATTATTTTATCTTAAGTAACATTATAAGATTACATGGCAGATAGTAAAGAGAATTGCTTATGAGAACTTAGGAGTGAAAGGGTTCTGAGATGTGGGTTCCATTTTTGTTTCAGTGCGGGTGTTGGCCGAAGTGGGGCGTACATTGTTATTCACAGTATGGTGAAAAGAATGCTAGAGACGGGAGATGTAAACATCTTTGACTTTCTTGCTCAAATACGTCAACAGAGAAATCATCTTGTACAAGAAGAGGTGGGTGAAGTCTCCATTCCACTTTGTCAATTTTAAAAAATGGTCTTGATAATTAAAACCAGTTGACTCGCATCCCTGTGTGGGTTACTTCGGAAATGTAAAAATGATTGAGTTAAAAACCGAATCAACTGATTTGAGTGAAAGTATTGTGAGGATTTTCATCATTGCTTTTTATAATCGGCGATGTTATTTTGAGGTGGCTTCAACTCATAATCTTCACAAGAGTGGTCCTTTGGTGTAGGCCGAACTTCCCTGTCATCCATTATAAAGGATATTTTGGAATAATGTGATTTGGGGATTCCTCTGCTTCAGTGGCCGTGAGATAGAACAAACAGACGGTACTATTGAATGAGATCACTTTCATCCAACCTGACTGAGTGACCAGGAAAAGACGAGGACCTCTACCAGAGGTCTTACCTCTGTCGGCTCCATCATACATGTATATTATCTACATGTACTTACCTCTGTTGGCTCCATCATACATGTATATTATCTACATGTACTTACCTCTGTTGGCTCCATCATACATGTATATTATCTACATGTACTTACCTCTGTTGGCTCCATCATACATGTATATTATCTACATGTACTTACCTCTGTTGGCTCCATCATACATGTATATTATCTACATGTACTTACCTCTGTTGGCTCCATCATACATGTATATTATCTACATGTACTTACCTCTGTTGGCTCCATCATACATGTATATTATCTACATGTACTTACCTCTGTTGGCTCCATCATACATGTATATTATCTACATGTACTTACCTCTGTTGGCTCCATCATACATGTATATTATCTACACGTACTTATCTCTGTTGGCTCCATCATACATGTATATTATCTACGTGTACTTACCTCTGTTGGCTCCATCATACATGTATATTATCTACATGTACTTACCTCTGTTGGCTCCATCATACATGTATATTATCTACATGTACTTACCTCTGTTGGCTCCATCATACATGTATATTATCTACATGTACTTACCTCTGTTGGCTCCATCATACATGTATATTATCTACATGTACTTACCTCTGTTGGCTCCATCATACATGTATATTATCTACATGTACTTACCTCTGTTGGCTCCATCATACATGTATATTATCTACATGTACTTACCTCTGTTGGCTCCATCATACATGTATATTATCTACATGTACTTACCTCTGTTGGCTCCATCATACATGTATATTATCTACATGTACTTACCTCTGTTGGCTCCATCATACATGTATNCTCTGGCTCCATCATACATGTATATTATCTACATGTACTTACCTCTGTTGGCTCCATCATACATGTATATTATCTACATGTACTTACCTCTGTTGGCTCCATCATACATGTATATTATCTACATGTACTTACCTCTGTTGGCTCCATCATACATGTATATTATCTACATGTACTTACCTCTGTTGGCTCCATCATACATGTATATTATCTACATGTACTTACCCCTGTTGGCTCCATCATACATGTATATTGTCTAAATGTACTTTTAGAGTTGCGCTCCATGTTACTATCGATAGTTTTTTTACCCACAATTGTTACTCCAATCATGCAATGCCACAAAAATGTACTCCACCTTCTGTATTTTCTTGCCTTTGTCTGAGTGTATAGTAACTGAGTTTGATGTCGTTTTATGCCAAGAGTAATTGGGGACTACATTGGTTTTACTCTATTTCGCTCTGTGATTGGTCCAAAAACCCTGCACCACTCTTTCAACCAATCAGACGCAAAACTGAATCAAATCACAACTTGGCCGTCCACGTTTTCCCGCACTTTTGGCAGTTTACTAGTTTTTACTTTGAGTTTTGACTGTTAAGGTTAAGGGTTTTTTCCTTCCCTCATATTGGGCTTTGTGATTACTTTGATTTTAGTGTTATGACACTCAATCGTATTTCCTCCGTTGTCTGTTTTCCTGCTCTCTTGACTTTACCTTGTTTGCCGTTTAAGTTTGACATGTTCTTGTTTCAGTGTCAGTACATTTTTGTACACGATGCCTTGCTACATTTCATTGAAAGTGGGTTTCAGCTATCAATCCACATAGATAATCTGAGAGACTGTGTACAGAAATTGAGGAAGAACTGTTCAAGTGCAAGCGGGCTTGAATTGGAATTTGAGGTTAGTTTTCATCATATAAAGGCGGAATTTAGAATTCACCCTGTGTTTTACTGTAAGAAATAAATGTTTAAATTGATTGATGTTTTTATCGCTGAAAACACAAACTTCTTCCCTGATCACTGTGTTCCCTTTGTTTTACTTTAGAGCTTGAATGGAATTCAAGTAAGACACTACAATTTGAAGCAAGCCAGGCGAGGTTGCAATTTAGCAAAGAATCGATCAGTAGATTATATCCCAGGTAATATTGAGGTCTGATGGATGAATGGATTTATTACATCATTTTGAACTCACTGGCGATCCTTGCAATCTTATTGGCTCTCAGCAGTGCGATTTGTTCATATTTTTTTGCTTCAAATTGAATAATTTTTCAGCCGATGAGAAAGTCACACTAAAAACAACCAATCAGATTTCAAGGCTTGTTAACAGTAATCAATCAAATTGCAGAAAAGTTTCTTTTCCCTGAATGTGTCGTGCAAATCGCACTCTCTACTCAGTGTGATTAAAATTATTAATCAGTGAAGTTACTTTATATCCATCAATCATTCAAATGATAAATTTGTTCAATCATCTCTATTAGTATTGATTCAATATAACTGTTCCAATGCCTTCTCAGCTGACAGTTCCAGAGTTGAGTTGTATCCTCGCCCAAGGGAGGAAGGTTCAGATTACATCAATGCAACGTATCTTGCGGTAAGAGTCAGTCCAATTTTTCTCGTGAAGATTTTGGATGGGAATTGAGCTAAAGGAAATAAGCAAAAACATGTATCTCTTACGTAGAGGGAGGGTTTTTATTGAATTTATTTCAAAGAACAAAAGAAGAATAACTTCCCTAGGACATACTTGCTGTAGAAAGCAATAAAATGATGGCTAACTGAGGTGGACGAAAACGAAAGAGAATAAAAATGAACTGTAATGAAGGAAAACGGAGGTTCACCCTTTACAACGTAACGTCAGTATTGATATTCTCCATAATACTCTCTCCACATTGCCTTTGGTATTGACAAGGGGAGTTCGTTTATCAATCAAAGCTTGTAAGGTTGGCGATCATTTCCTTTATTTTCATGATCTTAATGAGCGATTCAGCAGTAATTCTCAAAGAGAAATTAGGTGCTGGTCACTCTTACGGTTTTAAGTGTTCAGCCGTATTGCAAGTGACGAACTTGAAAATTGTACATGTACGGGTTTTGTTGTTGTTTTTGTTGCCTTTTTTTTTTTGTTCAGTTAATAAAGCGAAACGTGCACGTAGCCTCGTGAGTTTTCTAAGATTGCTAACAAATTGTTTCGTGCAGGGTTTCTGGAAGACCGAAGCATACATAGCGACTCAGTATCCTTTAGAAGAGACTACAGACGACTTTTGGAGGATGGTCTGGCAGGAAAACAGTCGCTCACTTGTCATGCTGCTTAGCAAAGCAGAGATGGAGGAGGTATGGTACCGAAACAGAACATTCAACGGTTTGGGGTGGTGCCTGTAAGATTTCCACACTCTATCACTTACTTGTTTGATGTGGAATTCAACAATGTTGGTGTTTTCCTTTTTACCCAACTCTTGAATTTTTTTAGCCAATTTTTTAACCAACTTTAAATAATCACTTTTCTTGAAAGAAAAGGGGGAAATTTTGTCATCCGAAGAGGGCAGCCAATTACATAATGAAATTTCCTCTCAGGGGCCGGACAGTGGAATATCGCCAAGCCTCCATCTCTTTTCCTTATTGTTTTCAGGGACCTTTTGTTTCATACGAGATGATTAATATTGTTACTTTGGTTTTATTACGAAATAATTTTCAGAAATGCTAGTCATTTTTAGTCAAGGAGTGTAGCGACTGCTGTGCTAACCTGATTTATAGAATTGGAGGTAGCGTGGGATATTCAGCTTATGCTTTGGATTTGTGCTTCTTGCTTGTAGTCTGCGTAAGCCAATTAATCTTTCGCTCACAATATTGGGTTTTCATTTTTACAGGGGATTATTCTTTCTTCTTTGTATGGTTTATGATTGACACCTTTGATATTATTTGAAATTGATTTCTTCATAATTATCTTTTTCATCTGAAAAGTTGTCCTTGTGAGCATTTAGCAATAGTGCTATGACATAAACTGTAGGTTTAAACGTACTTTTTTCTGCTATAGGGTTATTACCATAGGTATCTACCGCCTTTACATGAAACAACCAGGTTCGGTGACTATGAGGTGACCGCCGACTCCGAGGCCACACGTGGTGACATTGTGCTCACAGAGCTAAGAATGGTCTCCATTAAGGTATGTCGTGTAAAAGTTACTTTGTGTCTACTTGCATCATACTGATGCAGTATTTCTAAATTTAGCATAATCATTATGGATTTTTTTTCGTGAGGGCAAGGGTGGAAGAGAGGATTAGCAAATTCTAATCAACTCTGTTTTTTTCTTTTTTGTTTTGTTTTGTTTTGGCTTGCAGGACCCTAGTGAGTACAGAAATATCCGACATTTTCACTTTCTTCACTGGCCTGAGGATGGCAATCCATGGTCTGGTCAGACTATTCTTCAACTGATCTGTAAAGTGGACAGCTGGGAGAAGGAAGTACGACTTAATGCTAAACCATTTGAGGTGATCGGACCAGTTGTGGTGCACTGCAAGTAAGAGTTTTATTAGATGGCGTTTGGTTTACTCATCTTGACTACCTTGAAAGACTGATCATGTCAAATTCCCTTTAAATGTTTTAGTAAGGATTTTGAAAATGTTTGTGAATGGAAAAAAGTACCGTTAGATTAATAACGGCAATGTGCTACCCAGGAGTGAATGAGTTAATCACTAAGTGACAGCTTATGATGATGCTATATGACGTAACAATACTTTGATAGGATGAGTGTAAGGATCGATGCTTTGTTGCCTCCTTTCAGCTATGGAGTGTGGCGCACGGGTGCTTACTGTCTACTGCATACAATAATATTAATAATAATAATAATAATAATAATAGGATAAGTGTAAGGATCGATGCTTTGTTGCCTCCTTTCAGCTATGGAGTGGGGCGCACGGGTGCTTACTGTCTACTGCATACAATGTACCATCAGATTGAACGCGATAAGAGTGTCTCCATTTATCAGATAGCTCGCCTATACAATCATCAGAGACCTCGCTGTGTATCAACTCTGGTAAGTAAATGTAATGCAATAGATCTCTTTTTCACCAAAGCGCCCGAGCAGGTGGGTTTCTTTGTAAGCTATTCTATGCTAGAACGGAAGAAGTATGTCCTTTGAGAAAGTGCGATCACCAACGTTTTCAGGAGGGTGTGACCGTGTCGGCTCGTAGGTCTTGTGAGAAACTCATTGAAAGATAATTAACCTATTTTCTGGCTGAAATCGTGAGTCTGTCGCGTCTAAAATATTGTTTGACAGCTCAGCATTTTCACACCTCTTATGAAATATTCCAATAATTGCATCAAAGGAAAACAATCCTTCACAGAAACTCCTTTTTTAGATAGACATTCGCTTTCGATGAGGCGTTAGTTTCGCGCAAAGTGAAGCGCATTTATTGTCATTAACCTTTGATATGAACTAATTGTTTCTAGCTGAATTTTGTCTTGAACAAACTTTATAACAAAGGTAATACATTCATGTATTGTTTACAGGGGCAGTACGAGTTTTGTTATGATACATTGGTGGAGTATATTGAAGCAGACTGTTCCTTACATCTTGTGTGACTTCAACGTTTGGATTAAAGTCGTGAGAAGAAAAAGAATTTAAACGCTGATTTTGAAAATAATAGATGATGTCGATGTTGATTTTGGAACAAAAAAATCAAACAGAACTACCCCTAATGAAGTAGATAGAAACCAAGATTGGTAAGTTTGGAGAACTGAGATCAACAGCGATTGGAATGTTGAAGTTGGTAAGGTAACCAAAGCGGAAATCAACTTCAAGGGTCGTTAACTAATGTAAATGTCCCAGAAAGTCGCGCCCCAAAAGCTGGCAGTTTTAGGATTTTTGTTTTAGCCTCTCGACAGTGGTAACAGATTACCGAGCCTTTGGATAGAGTTGATATATTCCAAGAAAAAGCTAATTACAAATATGCTAACGTAGAAAAAGTGCTTTAAAACTATGGTAGGTTTAAGTTATAAAAAGTATGATTCATAGAAAATCAGCTATGCAGTAAATAGTAAATAGGTATATACTGTGAATTGTACAATAGTAGTCTCGATCGTCGTTTAAATTTTTTTTTTATAAAGTATACTTTGAATTTCTCTTTGGCTTAGTTTGAAAATCACGTAAATTGCAGTTCAGGATTAGTTTGGACGGTTTACGGTCTCATTTCCAAGATGAACCTCAGAAGTTCCGTATTACGCTATTTTTTATTACTTTTTTTAGTTTTTTTTTTTTTTTTTTTTTACCCAGTTACTGTACAGTAGATTCTGTTGTAAAAAAAAAAAAAAGGTTATGTAATTTGAACATTCCGATTGATTACGAGACTTGTACATATGTTTAGAGTTGTTTATTACCTTAATGATATAGGAATAAATAAAGGCAAGCATTTCAAAATTTAAGCAGTTGTATGGTCATGCTGCAACAAAGATCAGACTAAGGGGACAATTGACAGACAATTGACAGCAAGCTATCATGGCAGGAGCACATAAAGAACGTTTGTAAGTCATTCAGCAACAAAGTCGCAGTAAAATTTAAGCAGTTGTATGGTCATGCTGCAACAAAGATCAGACTAAGGGGGGAACGGCCCTGGGATTTTAAAGTTACTGACAC